GGAGGGGGCGGGCGGAGGGATGGAGAGGGGAGGGGTGTTTTTACAGCTCCAAGCAGAGTGCATGATAGGAAGCACACATACTGTTTCAATGTGTTTGGTGTTACAGAGAGAGGGTATTTAGATCGCTCCTTGTGCTCAACATCATTCCAGCTGCTCACAGGATGTGGGGAAGTAAACGGGGGTCAGGTTGGGCTGAAGAAGGGTGAGGGAGGGGAGGTCAGTGGAAGGCTAGAGAGTATTCCCTCCACCCCAATTTGAATTCAGTAAAGCCTGTTAGTGCAAAATAAAATACCTGTCTACATATTTAAATGCAATAAGTCCCAACAGCAGTTATTGTAATACGATTTTACAGGTTTATACTGTCCTAATCATTTATAGGACTTTTTCCTGGAAAGAAATAATTTGGTTAAAAATTAGGAATATTCTCTCAATTTAAGCCCATGTATACCTACCAATTATTTGTAATTTATTGTACTCAAGACTGTCTCTCTTTGCCCTATAAGTAGCACCAAATGACATAGTAGTTTTAGTAGTAGGAAAACTTCCTTAGAAATAATTAGGAAATTATAGACTCCAGCGGCAACATCTTTGCTTCGTTTTACATCTAATACAGTCTGAGTATGTTTTGCTTCTGTATACTGCGATATCCGACACTTTGAACTATCTGTTGACTCTAATTATACAGTGGAGCCTCTAAAGAGGCAGATCTGTTACTGGCACCTGCAGAAGTGTGAGACGATACTTCCTACACATCTTTTTTACATTTCTTTCCTTTCACATTTGATACAAAACAGGTTTGGGTTTTTTTTCCTACACCTGCACACGTTCTCTTTGCTCAAATAGATCATGTACCCTCATCCGTCTTCCTCCTCCGGCATTGTCTTTGACCCCATCTCTTGACCCTTTGAAACCTTCCTTATATACCTCGACCCCTGGCTCAAGACAGGTTAGATCTACAAGCAGTCATTTTGACCCCTACCCCAAAGCACCCAGGGAACCAGCGCACAGCCAGGCTGCAGCAGGCAAAGAGCAGATAGGGAAAAGGTGGTGGAGAAAGATGTGCACGCTCTCACCTATGTACTGTCCATTGAAATAGCCCTCACAGTCACAGTCCTCTGTAGGGAGGCAAGCAGGGAAAAGAGGGGGTAAGCACAGGGTAAGACACCTGGAAGAGTTAAGGAGTAGGGGGCAGGTGGAAGAGTTAAAGAGGGTGGGCGGGCCATGGGCGCTGGAGGGAGGGCAGGCGACAGGCAGCAGGCAGGCAGACAGGCGAGAGTGGAGGAGCGGCCGAGAGATAATGAAGGCAACGGCCTCTAACAGAGGCTTGATGGAGAGATTTGACATTACGAGACGAGAAAGGAGAGGAGAGAAGAGGAGAAGAGAAAGGTGGCTCTCCTTCATTTGGAAAGGAGCCAGCTGTGAGTCGAGTCTCTGTTATCCACACACATGTAAACAAGCCTCAACTCCCCAAAGACGCACAGCTGAGGTACAAACTGCCTCACATACAGAAAGCTACACAACCACAATTCGAAAACAAAAAGAAATGTTGATGGCTACATCTAAATTCTGTCCTTTCATCAAATCTAATGTGTGACGTTGTGCACTAGAAAATAGAGAAATGATGGGTGGAGAAAATAGTCATATAGCACAGAAACGGGAGAGAACAAGATTAAAAACAGCAGCTGAAAATGCAGCAGAGTAAAGATGAGGAGGGGAAAACAGAACAAAAGATAATATGGACTGAGGATGACGCAAAAGAAAAGCTATTGTTATCTTTAACAACCTCTGCTTGGTTGGGCATAAGTCTCCAGGGATGCTGTTCTGCCTGCACATCACCTGGTACACATACACACACACACACATAAACTAGGCAAAAAAATCTCTATTCTGGTCTGGTGCACAGCAGCAGGAGGGGAGGAATTAAGCTGGAAGCAGTAAAAATCCCAAATGCACACCCCACTAAAACACACACACACACACAGACAGACACAGACACAGACACACACACACGCACGCAGAGGCTCCGAGGCCTCTATAAACATTTCCAATGTGTGTTTTTGTGTGAGGACGTCTGTGTGTTCTAGAGGAATGGTGTTTGTTGCTGATGTACCCACCTTTATCACATCCTTGGTCATCTGATATAGTTTGCAACAAGGAGAAACAGAGTGTAAAACATTAGCATCAGAGGCGGTGAAGGACAGGTCGTTCTGGTGTAAGATGGCAGATAAAAGAATTAGATTTGGACATTTATGAAATGAGGATTTGCAGATTTTATATTTGAAGAGATTGTTTTTTGTGGTCGTCAATGACGTCACAGACGAGCCAGGGGTGTGTGTGTGTATGTGTGTGTGTGGTGGCGGCGGGGTCCACATTTAAAGAGTCCCTGCTGGGATTTAGGGGAATTAATCAGTGAGCTGGAGGAGCGTGGAGGGAGGCCGAGACAGGAGAGTTCCTGCGGGCTTGCTGCTGCATGGCGTAGCAGGGCTAGCTGCCATATTGCTAATCTCTTGTTGTCTCCCCGTTGACTCAGGCCTAATCGGATCGCAAGCAGCTTACGGGCCACGAAGAGCCACCACTCGCATTACCCACTCACCTGGCCGCTTACACGCCGCCTCTATAGTGTCATGTGAGAAAGTGAGAAGTGTAATGTATTGCTGAGGCTTTGTTTCTCAGTGGGCGCAGCTTGTACACACTGTCTGGATCTGCTTAAGCCCAATTGCTCACTGGCCAGATGGACCAAACATGAAAGAGATTAATTCATATCTGTGATCCCTCCCACCGTCTCTGTGCCCCTCCGTCTCTCCCTCATCCCCTTTTAAAGCATAGCAGCATGGAGAGGACAGACAATGAATGCTAATGCCTCTGAGAATGCCAATTACCAGTAAAAAATGTCAATAAATGTCAATAAAAACATTGCTGCATTTATCCAGTGGACATATTATTGTCCTATAATGACAGTGAGTATGTTAGTGTGGAGAGGAGAGCTGATGGTGAGAGATGCTGCAGGTAGTAAACTGTATTCATGAAACAATGCAGAAAGATGCAGTGGAATCCTGGAAAGCAGAAACTTACAGACAGGCTTTTTAGGGGATTTTGGATTCGGGAGCGTGCCCATTTTCATCCTGTAGGCCAGTCGCCTGGAGGAAAGTGCGGCAGGACAAAGAGTCAAAGAGGATGGAGGCAGGAAGAGAATCATCAGGTCAGAAATACACAGTGAGCGAAAGGCAGGGAGGGAACGTCAGAGAGGTGGAGCAAAAGATTTAAATAGAACACTTATGAACATTATGAGACAATGGGCCAATGGGTACAGACATGTGAAAGGCCCCCCACCCTCTCCTACGTAAGAGTAAGACAACCAAACTGAAAGAGACAGCAAAAGGCTACAAACGATGTGGTTGGTTTATGTGTCTTTGTGATTGTTGTGTGTCACTTTGCAGTCATTTTGAGTCTTCCTGTGGTTGGTTGATGTCTCTTTATGGTCACTTTATGTGTCTTTGTTTCCATTTATGGTCAATTTGTGTCTCTCTATGGTCGTTTGTGTCTCTTTGCAATCATTTTTTGTTGTCTCTTTTGGTTGTTTTGTGTCCATTTGTGGTCGTTTTTGTGTGCCTTTGTGCTGGTTTTGTGTCTATTCACAGTCATTTTGCACCTCTTTGTAGTCATTTAATTGACTTTCTAACAAGGAACAGTCACTTCAAACAGAGGCTCAGTGCCTGGTAGGCCTGTTTGGGAACACAACACTGTGTGGTGTCATGCTGCATTTAAGACATTCTTTCTGATTACTCATTGTAGTTAGAGCTCAGCAGGAACCAACGACATCAGCAGAAATGTGTTATTTCATCCTAAACATTTATTCAACCTACAAAACACCGTATTAGGGCTTTTCAGAGCTTGGCTACCCTCTGACCTGTGTCTTTCTCTGTGTTTAAGCTGTGGTTATTAATCCAGTAGACGCTGCAGTGTTTGGCAGGGGTCTCCCTGCCTGCTGAGATCATCTTACTGACAGATTACGACACCAACAGTAAAGGCATTTGCCTATTCAAGGCTGCGTTTTCATTTATTTTTTCCACACTGCTTCGATGCTCCATCTAATGATAGTTGACCCCTGGATGTGTGTGGAACACATGAATGTGGATTTAACAGATTACAAATGGCTGGATAAAATAAATATCAGCACTGTGTGGGTGAGCCGTACAGTGCTGGCGCTGATTAGTTTACACCACAGGTTGTTCATCTGAAGTGTGCGGATGCATGATGTGCTACCCGTCTCCTCCTGGGTGCTCTCACCTCTCCTGGAACTGTTTGGAGGGGACGAGTCCGGCCCGCAGGTTGCTGTCTCCCACGCGCTTGGCCTGCCACCACGTGGGGTCGTCCTGGGTCACGACCTGCAGGATGTCTCCCCGCTTGAAAGGAAGTCCCGCTTCTTGGCAAGGCGTCGCTTTGTCTTCCAACGGGATGTAGTCGAACAAGGCTCTCACGTACACCTAGAATCACAAACAAAAAGCAAAAAAACATGTTTAGATGAATATTATTGTAAACATGGACAAAGCTGTTTATCTGAGTTGCATGAACCTTTCACTCACACTTCACCTCACCTTGCTCTCCTTCAGTCGGTCCTCTTCTTTAATGGCAGGGATTATCTTTAGAGTGATGGAGCCCTGGGACTGGGACTAGATCACAAATAGACAGAGTAAGCAGGGGAGAGAGGATTGCGATTGTAGCCTCTAATTAAAGACAAACACCACTTAAAAAGCACCCTGAGGTGGATTAAATCTCTTTTAGTTTACCACTGCTTCTGTCTGAGGCAAATACAGAGAACCCTGTTTATTATTAAACAAAACATGGGCTGAGCATTTCAGTCATTATCCAAAAGAAAAACCATGAAGTATTCAGCATTCAACAGATTGAACGGATGCACATGACTTTACTGTCATGCAATTCAAAATACTACTTTATAAAACATAGTACGGAACTGATGCAATAAATAATAAATAAAATACAACAGGAGCTTCTGACTGTGACAGATACATCAGTGGGTTTAGACACTTTATAGGCATTAATGGTGATGGCATATCATTTCTCTTTTTTTAATGGTATAATGGTGATTCGGCACACAGACTGAGTTGGACTAAGAAATTTAGTTTTTTTTCTGATCTTTGAGTCACATTGAGTAAAGTTTAGGGTATTGCGCCGCCATGCTCGGATGTTGATGGCAAGATTCTTCATTGGCATGCATGAATCATACAGTAATATTAGCCTAAATTAACACATGATATGTGATGATACAGAAAAATATGAATGCATGGCAAAAAATAGCATTTTGTGAATATTGTAAATTTGAGCCCCCCAAACTTCATAAATCATGCTTTCAGGGCGGCTTATGCCTTATTAAGTGGAACCAAGCTCCCCAGAAGTTTGCACCCTGTATAAAATACTTTAGAAAAAAAAGGCCTGATTTAAACTTTAAACTTTGATGAAGTTGGATCTGATTCCTTTTCCACTTATAATTACTAATATTATACATACTGTACATGAATACATAAATATGATATAAGGGGCTTCTCAGAATCTATCCTGCTAACTCTTATTTCCATTGATTCGACAAGTAAGCAACACCGTTTTCCTTAAACTAAAAAGTGAAAATTATACACATTGAAATATTGATCTTGAACTGAAAATGATGATTCATCTGGAAATATATTCTTGAAACTTGAAAAAATCTTGAAAATTTTTTGTGAGTTGATCTACTGTATGCCAGCATTTCTTTGAACACAGATATTACAGCAGAACTGTCTCACCAGCAGCTGACTGATCTCATCGGGCCTCTTGTGGATCACAGAGACTCCGTTGACCTCCCTGAGTTCATCTCCTACATGGACCAAACCTGCGAGGGGGAGAGACGGTAAATGAATGCGCAGACCCGATCAATGACAATCAAAGTGTTTTCACTGAGCTGGGTCTTTGGGGTTTATCAGACGTATCTCAACATCAGTATCGTTGTCAGATCCACAGATACGGGCTGCCTCCGTCTTCAGCTGTGATCTATTTAGCTGCTGCCACAACATTGAAATCAAAGGCTGAGAGAAGTCAGATCAATACACTTATTCCCTCAGGACAGAGCAGCACATAGCAGACACGCTATGTGCAATCATACATATATGATGTATTCAGCAGACGTACAAAGAGACTCAGGCTAATTCTGAAATCCTTCTACAGCTCCTGTCTCCACTAACGAGAGCTCTTTCCATCACTTGACGCAGCAAGAAAACGGAGGAAGACATAAATGATTAATGGATACACTGATTGGTTTACTTTCCCAGCATGCATGTTTCTAAAGCCAACACACATACACACACCTGCAAGTGGCAGATATTTCCATGGTAACGCCCATGAAAGGATCTTTGCTGAGTCTATATGGTGCGATTGATTCTCTGGGGACTCGAGGAGAGCTTTGGATTTCAGCAACAACCGCAGCATCCCTCTCATTTCTCTCCTCCTGCTGCATCTCTCTCTCACTGTGGCTTTGATCTCACTGTCACTAGAGTATCAGGTTTTGAGTTGTTATCCAATAAACATATGCATATTATTTTGTGAGAGTATTTCATTGAAACGGTCACACTGCTTTAAAAAAACAACAAAAAACAACAAAAAAAAAAACAGGAGCCTCCTGGTAGCTCGGCTTCCTGAGTACTGTGCCACATTACTGCAATGTGCTGGCTGTCGTCCATACAGGGAACTTTTTTTTTTCTTTCAGTCTTTCCTATTTCTTGATTTATCTATATAGCAAAAATGTCCGAAAAGGTCATCATAAACATTAGCCGCTGATATTTAACGTGGTGATTTGCACATGTGGAAGAGTTTGAAGGGGCAAACAGATGAGCACACCTGTACAGGTCCGTGGTTCCCAACCTTTTCTGCTTGCAACCTCTTAAAGGACCAGTGTGTGGAATTTAGTGGCATCTAGCGGGGTAGTTATCCCTCTCTTCACCCTCCCCTTCCAAGCAAGAAGGAGAAACATGCTATATTATGCTATATATATAATTTCTGCCAATAGATCCTCCTTAATGTCACACACTGGACTAATAGCAAATCAAATATCAGGCCTGCGACACTCGTCACACGGTGCAGGTGTCCGTAAAATGTAAGCGGAGCTGCAGCTACAGTGGCACGAAATCACGTTCTCCGTAGTCAATTTTGTAGGAATTCCTGGGGGGGTTTTAAAGACCCCAGTGTGTAAGTTTAGTGCAGCGGACGTAATTTGGGGGGGGGACACCCAGGGGACATGTCCCCCTGGCACTTTTTTCCAAAAGGCGCGTTTTGGTCCCGTGCACCTTTTTACGCGTCCAATAAACAATGTTACGCCTATAGTAAACAGAGACAGGTCAAGGCACTAGACCAAAAGCGGAAGCCGCTCAAGCTGAAGCCTAGTCTCCGACTTGTTTAGACCGATGAGACCATATATACAGTATATATTATGTATATATGGTCTAATGGTTTAGAGCCCGCCCACCAAGCTCCTCCCCGACTTGGCTCTGCCCGTTCTGTGTTGTGATTGGCCGTCCCCGCTGTCACTCCATCCTTGCTTGCACACGCGGTCTGCTAAGTTGCCAGGAGTCCTTATTAATCCTGTCACTGTACAGTTGCCGTTTGTTCTGGCTGGTCGCCGTGCAGCTAGAAGGATTATAATTATCAGCAGCTTGTCATTTACATTAACTGAATTTTTCAGTTCATTTGAATCGGTGTCGCATGTGCGTATGTGCGTGCGTTGAGTGAAGTTGACTAAGCAAGGTGAAACACAGAATGGGTGATAAATGATTTGTTAGCATGCTTTAGCAACTCAGTAAAACCTTAAAAAGTAGCAATAAGAAAACTAGAAAGAACTACCTAGAAAACACAGTGAACTGAAAGAGGTTAGAGTTTTATTAAAAATACTTGTGTCCCCCCCACCTTTGAAATCAAAATTTCGTCCTCAATTTAGTGGCATCCAGCGGTGTGGGTGCATTGCATGGAATTCCAAACCATTTCATTAAAATTATTTTTAAAGCCCTTCAGAGGTAAGATGATAAACTATTTCACAAGAAATATTGTAATTTTGTGTTGAATTAATTTTTGTCCTCATTTCCTTACCTTTTAGATTAATTCCACTCCCTCTTGTCTGTGTTGGGGCCCTAAGGTTGAGAACTACAAGAACAGAAAGCCCAGAGGGACAAAGACAAAGAGAGAAGTATAATTTACCACTTCGGTCAGCTGCACCTCCTCTCATTATCCGAGCCACGATTACTGCCCCGGTGGCGTCGTCCCGCCTGATGGTGGCTCCCTGGAGCACAGACAGAATATGATCATTAACAGTAAAGAGCAAAGGTCTCTGTTCTCCTGCAGGCTCTTATGTTCTCTTCTCTCCTCTCATCCATCACAACCCACCAGAGGCTCCTTGTTCTTCACCAGCCTGACAATCTTCACCGACTCTTCCTCCAGCTCGTCCTCGAAGTCGTCCGGCAGCGGCGGCAGCACGGGGTCAAAGTTCTTCTGAGCTACAGTGTCGTGCACCGAGAGAACGGCCTGATGGGACAGGAAATAGACGTGCTGAGATTACAGTGCTGACGTTGTGCGTGCAGAGAGCGGCCTCTGACATCTGCCAGAATCTGTGAGCAGCCTCAGAGATGAAGTGACAGTCTGATGTTGGGGTAAATAAAACATCTGATAGGAGAAACATCCTCATGAGTGTACACCAGCGCCATATCTCGTCCTGTGCATTTACCTTGAGATGTGGTGATGTCAGCAGGTGCAGCAGCTCCTTCTCCTCGGTGCTCATCGGTCCGCTCTGCAGCTCCTCTGCCACCTGCCCATCATAAAACATACATGAACCGTGAGCCCTGGCCCAGGGTGAACCTCTGCATGTGTATACCAGTAATGACCAGTGCCATTTACTGTGGAATAAATGCGGACAGATACACAGACGTGCACATAGCACAAGATAAGTAGCGAGCAGCTGAGGTCAGCAGTTTCTCCCACTGATGACTGGTGAGAGCGAGAGAGCAGCAGGATATGGAGTTTCATTAGATGAGCAGGATGATTCAGCACTTTGAGAACATTAAAATTCACTTTTGATACCTGCGTTGCTTCTCTGTAGGAGCTAACTCATTGTGACTGACTGCTGTGCCCAAGTGGAAAAGTAATTTGGGGTGTGTGTGTGTGTGTGTGTGTGTGGGGGAGGGTTTTGTGTCTGTATGTGTGTGATGAACTTACGTCCTCTGCCAGAGAAGAGGCACTGTGGAGGACGGGTGTTGGACTCTGTCTCTCGTACTGTCTCAGCTTCTCATGAATCTGTAACACAAACACAGATTTACAGTTTATTAGAGGAGAGACTTTCATAAAGGAATGCAGGTTAAATGACCAGTGTGTAAGACTTAGTGGCATCTAGCGGTGAAGTTGCAGATTGCAGCTGACTGAACATCGCAGTATTTGATGACCTGGGAATGAAAATGGGTGTAGGAGAAACTACGGTGGCTGCGAAACTCGAAAAAAATGTGAAAGGCCCCATCTACAGCGAGTGTTTGGTTTATTGAATTGTTTACCTCCATGCTTACTAGCTACCAGTCTTCTTCTTCCCCACCTTTGTTTGTGCTATTGTTCCTGCTCAGTGGAATAGTATGAAACAATAACCTTAAAAACTTCATGCTTTTGTGTGCAGAAAAACAAGAAGCACTAAAACCTGCACAAACCTTGAAATGTATTATTGTAATGAAATTTTTGTTAATTTCAGTAGGTCATTAAAAAAATACAGAAGACATTATCAAATCAAACAATCCTGATCTGAACCGAGAACTAAATATTTTTTCTTCCTTTCTAAAAATATCACTGAAATTCATCTATTTTGAGATATCTCCCTAATTAACAAAACAGCAATTAACAAAAGGGAGACACAAAAGTACCTACTTGATAGAGGACTATCAAGTAGGTACAGACAAGGAACAGACAAAATTTCTACTTAAAATGGCCGGTACGGGGGATGAATACATCAAAACGAACCCATCAGCTAGATTGATTTGTGTTTTTTTTTTTTTTTATCTGTAAACACTATGAATATAGAAGGAATACTATGAAACCTTCTAAGAACTTGTATGTCCAGAGTGTTTCTCTTCTTAGAGTGTCTTTGGATCATCCCACAACTGCTGCCTATCACAGTCTTCAAAAACAACTGTCCATTGGATGCCTCTAACGCCTAAGTGAATGTAACAGTACATAGCTGCATTTTAGATCTACATGTAAATAATGATTGTTGCTCATGGAGTCTGAAGGAGTAATAACCTTCATGAGGTATCCCAAGCTCTTCTCACTGAAGACATCTTTGAGGAAGACCATGTCCTCTTTGTGATTGGCATCGGGACGCAGCTGAGAGGTCAGCAGGGCCAGCGTTTCGTGTAGCCCTACAGAGGGGAGGAATGAGAAAACCAATCATGTAGATTAACATGAACAGATGGAACACGGCGAGCGTCGAGCAGTATGGACAGTATGTGTTGAGCATCCGTGCCAATTCATCTCACCCGCTCCTGCTGTGAGGACTGGCATGGCTTCTTTCATGGGTCAGTGAGGTGAGGGAGGGAAAACCTGGCAGGAGGAGAAAGAGAGAAAATATAATCTCCATACAGATGCTGACGGTTCACTTTCTGAGAGATCTATCTCACTATCTGGGTGGATTAAAAACAACTTCCACTTCTCACAAAAAGGTAAAAAGAGAAGGGCAATGTGTTTGTGTGAGCATGTACGACTGATGTAAAGGCATCTGGAGACCTATGTACAGTTATTATAGCCATATATCATCTTCTTGTAGACTCCATGCTATAAATCCAGGCTGCATTTCCCATTTTGCAGTGTAGTGACCTCATCTGCGAATGTGTAGGTGTGTGTGCGTATGTCTGCTTGCATTATAGAGCTGCGCTAGTAAGATAAACAGTCACAGCTCGTACTATTAATCACACAGACTCTCACCGCGCCCTCTGAGCCCTGTGTTGGTGTGTAAGAGAGCAGGAGAGTGGGATAATCTGGCATATACCTGTCAGAAAAAACGACAACACTGCGTCATACAACTCTAGAAATTCATTTAACTGTAGGATGTACTGTAAGCCATTTCACATGCAACTATACAGTATACAGTATGAGCTGTGAGTACGGAAGAGAATAAAAGACTTTTGGGAATTTATATTATTCAGGAATATACACTGTTAAACTGCTGTTGAGAAAACTAATGATTTCAAGGGAACTGTTGTCACGAAATTGATTAAAAGATTCAAACTTAAGTTGACAAAAATTGTCAACCTGTAATGTTTTGTTGAGGTAATTTACTTTTATTCTTAAAGAAAATATATTAAATTATTAACAGTTTTTCACTTGAATTAGTTTTCAGAACAATTTCTGAAATACAGATTTGTTTCTAAAACTTAAAAAGATTTGTGTTTTTCTTTAGGAGAAAAGTCAAGAGTTTGAATTCGACCTAAAACTTAAATATTTAATGACAACAGCTACCTACAAAGTATAAGTATTGTAAGTATAAGTATAGTATAGTGTAAGTATTTTGGAACATAACAATACAAAGTAGATCAGTGAACTAGTATCAAGAATAGAGTCTGCAGCCTCTTTGACCTAATGCTTACATAAGAGGTGGAGTTTTGTCTGTCCTATCTTTACTTGAATATTTATTTTTCTGACAACTCTTTATTATTACCTTTTATATTTGTACACAAATACCTGTACTCTCTACTTAAATTAAAAACAGGCTCATTACTTTAGTTTTTATGCGTTTTAGGGGAATTATCAATTTTTACTCAAGCAAAAGTACAGATACTTCATTAACAAGTTAGAAGTGTTATTTTTCTGACTTTTTTTGTACTTGGTTACTTTCCACCTCTCTTTGAAAGTGATTTAAATGTCTTTATGTTCTTAAAAACAAAACAAAGATAGCATAAAGGGCTAAACAGGATGTTAAAAGATTTTCTGCAGTACTTACACAATGTAAAACCAGATTTAACTCAAAAATTGTTGAAACTGATTACATTGAAAACATCAAGTAAAACCAACTTAATTATATTAAATATAATAGTAGCTTTAGTAATTTTAAGTGACACCAACTTAATTTTGTCATTTTCATCTGTACTGTGAAAACAAAATATCTATTAAAACATACTTAATCAAGAATATTTTTTAACTTACAAAACTGAGTTTGTCTTACTTTACTAAATTTAAATATAATCCATTTCAGTTGTTTTTTTGTTAAAATACATTGCATTACAGGGCAGTACTGTACAGTAACTTTCCATATATTCAAATGCTGAGAGATCTATGAGAGACTCAAAGATTCAGTCGGCTGAAGCGCTGCACAGACTGTCAGATTATCGCAGCCCCTACCGATCGATATCCCTGTCACTCCACTCAATATTCTGCATACTTCCTCCCACTGGAAACACAAATCAATAACATAAACCACAGACTCCATCATATCACTCTATGGTCCAATGACGAAACAGCAGAAAAACACCACAAAGCCAAAACAATACAAAACAAAGCTGCAATGAAGAGTTGTAAAATTTTCAGTTATTTTATCACTCAAGCTCTGCCGGAGGAGTTTGGATTCATAATACTGTTGTTATGTCAGACAATACAGAATAAATAAGCAGGTAAACATGGGCTAGTCTGTCTATGTCTACAGTACAATTGCATTATATAATCACACACCACTGACGCATTTACTCTAGTGAAATATTGACAGAAATTGTATTCAGACTGTTTAGAAAAGAGGCAGAGGCCCATTTGCTTAACCTGTCTGTCGGTAGGCGTGTGTCTACTTTGTATGTGTAAAATAAACATAAGATTTGTAAGGGATGTAGTCAGTATAGTGCTGACCCTATGGATGCCTGCCATAATGATGCATCTATTTATATGGTGCATTACCTTGAACAAAGACTGTAGAACTTATAGCAATAAATGTACATGTTGTTTAGTTGTAACTCCATGTGTGGTTGGTTAAACATGTAGATTTGTCTTTGTTTTGTAATGATAGATTTGAGATGTTCCTGCAATAACTGTTCAAAAAGTTGCTACAGAAAGAGACAATCAACAAGC